GGATACATTTTCGAGGTCAAAACGAAATCATGTCAACGGTCAGAGGCCATTCTTGTCCTAGAATATCACGGAACTTTTTTATCTGTCGTATAAAAAGACACCATTCGTATTACTTTGGATGCATTTATTTCTAGAACGATGTATACGGGCAAGAGCCTACACGCGACTGCCACCTTTCAGATGTTTTCTTTTTTTCTATGACGACCCGCTTTCGAAATAACTAATTTTTCACTAATGACCTCGGATTAGTTAAATGTAGTCAATTTTATATTTTATTACCACGACCATTTTTCTATTATGTTGCAAATCGGTAGAGAATATGTAATATATACTTTGTTCTTGTAGGTATAAAATTCTTTTCATAGAACTCGTATTTGGGGCATGAAAATCGTTGAGCGATAGCCGATTTTACGGGAAAACTATGTAATGAAATTTTATACGCAACGAAAATTTAATTTTAACTTTTATATCGATCTTCAATAAAATGTGGTTTCTTGTATATTGAGAAATACTTGCGAGTTTATATGAAATTGATATTAATGATGTAATCGGAGATCATTCCTATAAATTTCAGTTAGGGGAAACTATATTTGAACATAAGTAATACTCGCGATCACTCGCGTTTTGTCTGCTGGTATAACTTACCCATCAGCAGGCCCAAATTTGTAGGTGTTTTTCCGGATTGCGGATCGTCAAGCATCTCTCCAGTGCTGTTTTGCGAGAGTGCCATAGAAATCGGTTCGCCCGAGAAACACGAAGCGAATAACAGAGAATCGATTTACGGTTAGGTCTATTCACAATTGTGTCTATTCACGGTAATATTACTGTATGCATTGACTTACATATCGGTCGTATGCTCCACCACCAATTCCGCCATGTCGTCGGTCCGTTCGATTATCTGCTGCACCTCCTCGAAACTCCGATCGATCAGAGACATGCCGGACCATTCTAGCACCTATAAATAGCCATTTCGTATCAATGTATATTATTTGATGATGTAAAATATTGTAAAATATCGATGCGAACATGTGGAAAATATTTTTATTGCTCTTTTAAGTGAACGCGCGTTTACTCCTAAAGTTATTTAATTGTAATTGAATCTAGATGACTGTTTTTATTTCATATAAATTATAATAGAGAGGCTATCACACACATTTATTATGTTGTTAGTATATTATTTTAAAAATATTTCTTACAAAAGATATCTTGTAAAAATCGAAATGTAGTTTCTTTTATTCGAATAATTAATAAGTTGAAATTTTGATTATGTGAATACTTATTACATGAATACTTTTTATCATGAATTTTGAAAAATAATAATAATAAGTTAAAGATTAAAATTATATTATATTATTTACTTTTTTATATTATTTTACAATTATTATATATTTCTATTTTTTGCCAATTGTGTGTGATGATTACTTTTAACGCTCTAAGTAGTTGCTCGTAAAAAACTTAACGATTTTTCGTGAAATATTTCAAAATCGTAATTTTTTTTTGTATAACTGCAGTGCAGAATGTCTCATCTCAGATATGAAAGAGGAGAGTAGAATGGCTCGGATTCCTGACGGTTCGAGACCGTCAGCCTCGGTCGTGAAATTAATGTTGAAACGCGTCTCGCCGAGGCAACAGGACCGAAATGCAATCGGTCGTAAAGCATCCGGTCCTTCCGGCGCTTTAAGCACTTTAATTATTTTAATTACTTGAGCGGATTGCCGTAACGAAGACGGCGAGATCGCCGCCAGACGGTAAGCTGTACAAACTTTTGGGGGAAATCGCCGTGTTAATCCTTAAGGCCACTTGGCCGAGAAGACATTAAGAAGATTAAGGGCCCGTGTTGGATGCTATTTGTTGTCGCGTAAGATGAAGAAGCGTGAAAATTGAAGTACAGCGGTTATACATGGCTTGGCTAACGGGAACGTGCGTGCTTCGTCAAGCGTAATCAGCAAACTTAATAAATTAGGTCCTCCAATTTTGAGTAAATTTTCACGGGTACAGATTTGATTCGCAATCTTATTTAGCAATGTATAACACTTTCTATATTCGCATCGTACTTTTCGTTGCGTGATGTGCGCAAGTGTAATTACATTTCAATTAGGTGTTGCATGCTAATTAGTGAGAATCGAATTAAACATCTGATTAGAATACTGCAATTATTTTGGAACGATGTAGAAAACTCACGGTAGAAGAAGAGTGAAATTTATATTCCCCGTTTTTTTTTTATAATGAAATATTAAAAGCACTCGCAACAAAACATTCGCAAACGAGTGTCGACAATTATTCTCAATATTAAATCGTAAAATTTACGAATTGTTTGTCGCATATTTGTTTCAATTATTACATGTTGTACGTGAAATTTGAAAATGTATTTGTCGCTGCTTTCTGTTGTATAACAATGCCTGTATATAAGACCCGAGGTCCTTTGAGAAACATTATACCGCGCGCGTTAATTACGGCACCCGACGGCTTTCAATTAAACCGCGAGTGGAATCGAATGCAAATCGCTCTATGTCGAGGAAGAAGGAAGCGCGATCGATACACCGCGGCTCTCTCTTGAATGGGAAAGCGTAAGAGCGAAAAATGGAATTGCGAATGGAAGTCTTTGGAAATCAATTTATCGCATTAACGAATTATAACGTCTGAGATAACTGTTTCATTGACGCTTAAAATGCTAAAAGATATCAAACGTATATCACGCGACGAAATAGTCAATTACTCACGTCCTCGTTTCATAATACATAGAAATGTGTATCTCGAATATGAGTTGGCCCATGTACAATTCTCTCAATTCGCTCATGTCGCGAGAATATTGCCCATGCATCCTCATGACAAGTTCGCCTCGGTACAACAGACCGATGCACAATTTTCCTTCGCGGACGTAACATTTATCGTCGTTGCGATATAGACAGCATCACGACTCATATTCGAAAGCTCATAACTCGGAAAATAAACTTTCCATCCGCGTTCATTTACTAGCAGATTTTCGCGAAATATTTGCAATTTAACGAGAAGAATTTTCAGGAGAAGTTAGAACGCAAAGCGCAAAGAATCTGAGGAGAAATGTGTAATTTTGAATTTTATGATATTTGATGAAACGCAAACGCAATAATGATAACAATGATATAATAATTATGCGATGCTCGAATCTATGTATATGTGTATGCTTGAGTGAAGCAAAGTTTTCCTTTTCGGATCAAGAAATGCCCGCAACGAGAGAAACTTTGCATTGAAATGAAAATATTTATCCAAGCAGGTGAAAAGGTGTTTCCAACTTTCCAAATATTGTCGAGTAGCTTTTGTATGCGAATCTTTCTGCCTTTGCATATTTCCAGATGCGATAAAGGGAGATTTGTAGGAGAGAGAGAGAGAAGGAGAAAGAGAAAGAAAAATATAGATAAAGAAATGATTTCACGCTGGCGGTATAGTAATGCAGAATTTTTCACTTGATCAGTTTTTGGTTCTATAAAAGTGAGCCTTTTTTGCTCCTTACTTCGAGAAGATTTCAAAGCATTTTTCTATGTCCATATATACACTTTGCTTACATTTGAATGGAAAATCTATCTCTTTAATGTATTTTTCGTTTATTGGACTCTACAGTATCTTTTTGTCTATTTATCATACATTTCTAGTATTCTTAAAATATTTTCGAATTTTATATTAGTTGCATAATTAACCTTCTTCTTAATTAGTTGTTTCGCTCGATTTCGAACATTATGACCCTTCTGCATATATCTGTGCGTTAGATATATGTATATAGGATCCACAATTTAACACCGATTCCGATCCGAAAAATTTTTAAAGAATAACATTTATATTACACCTTAAACATAACAGAACTATGTAGACACTCATCCGGAAAGTGAAGACGTACGGGCAAAGTACAAATTAATGTATGGAAAGTTAATGCGTATTGGAACATGTCATATTCATAAAAAAAAAGAATTAATTATAACAATGGTGTGTCTTTCTTGAATTGATGATTTTTTTCGAAATTAGATCGAAGAAAAGAACACACCATGGTATAATTAATTTCTTTCGTTGTTATCCTTATTTGTATATATCTGTGTGTCAGATATATGGAACTATGAAGTAAGAGTAAAGAGAGATATCTCCTATAGTGTAGAGCGGAAAAAATGGTCACGAAAAATATTCTATATGTGTCCAAGTTTACCGAATGGAATAACTTGAACCATTTCGTCGCCATCTTGAATCTTCGTATGTGTCACGTTCGTGTTACGTTCAGTTGGGCTAGGATTAGTAAGTGTGTAATGTTGGTGATAAATAGTTTTAATAATACATTTTAAAATGAGTTGAAAGGATCTGGAACGGTTTCACAGGTGCCCAGATAATTCGGGTACTCTATCGTTAATACGGGTATCCGCGTCAATACATTGCAGGTATCTACTCGTATTAATACATTATACAATCAAAATTATTTATCACCGATACTTTACACACTATAGTCCAGTAAAATGACAAAATTTGGAGGAAATAATACTGACTGGGCTGAAACTTTGTAAACAGGCTTGTTTTAGGGTACTATTTAACATATTAAAAGTCCCCACGTGTAGACGCTACGTTGCGGGCAGGGGAGAGTCCAAAAAGTCCAAAAAATTAGTTTCTCGCAAATAACTCGGAAAATATCAACTTTACGGAAATTTATGTAGATATTAAAATTGTAGCTTACAAAATTCCGCACAATTTCATTTTTTATTCAAGTCTGTACGACCAAATGGAGCAGAGATAGAATTTTTTTAAACACCGGTAGTTTTGCAACGCAACGAAAACGCGTACGCGCGTCGCGCATTTTTCGCTAATATCTCGAAAATGGACTCTTGAATCGAAAAATGTTTTAAATAAAAATAGTAGAGAATCTAATTACGAACAATTTCGTTTTTTATTCATTTTTGTACGGTCCAAATTCGCCGAGTTATTAATTAAAAGACAATTTTATTTTATGTTGATAGTGGATGTTTTGCATGTAAAAATCAGTATTAACTCTGAAAGTATAGGTTGTACACATATAGTATATATAATGAAAGTTAAAGAGAATAAAATTTTGAACATGTTGATGTATGCATGAATCCATTTTGGTAAAGATAGCTTGAAGTTAAGAGCAAAAAACATGAAAAAATGTCATTTTTTAGTGCATTTTGGAAAATAACTTTTTCTAATTGGTTGGAGGCAGTAATGTTATGTATTTTTCTTGAAGATATTTTAATTATCTTTAAAATGAGACGTTGTAGACCTTTTTTCATTGAAATGTTGATGAATTACAGGCGTTTAAATATTGAAGAAAAAAAATCAATTTCTGTTAAATTAACATTTTAGTCCAAAAATATATGGATAATAATTTTTCAAAAATTTATTTTACCTTGTTTTCATTACTTCATATATATATGAACGTGCTGGAGTAGTATAAGTCTTTCGCAAAGTATGTTTTATTTAAAAAAAAAGTTTATGAATATTGCTGTATTTTTGATAAATTGTGGAAAAATTGCATTATCATTCCTTTTTTTGTAAATATCTCCGTTTCTATTAACTTTACGAAAAAACTTCAAGAGACCGAAATTAAAGCTGACAAAATTTCCTATAAAATGGAGTTTATGACATGTAATTTTGAATGCATTGTGATAAGAAACTGGCGTTTCAAAAGACAGGTAAGTTTACGTATGTAGCAGATCATCACTATGAGTCGCCTGAAATGATGAAAAAACGTGTCCTTAACATTTTTCTGTACCTGTATTGAAGTGTCAGAAGTTATTCTTGGGGTCTTTCTGAATTGTTTGGTACTAAGCCGATATTTTTAGGACCGATAGTACTGTACATAGGTATTAAAGATTGAGAAGAGTCCGAAGTCAATATGCGGCGCGTGGCGTGGCAAACACATTACGACTCGTTTTATTTAAAAAATCATAACTTACGAACAAATTGACGAAGCTTAATGATCAAACA